AGAGGTGAGGGTCCGAATCCCTGCGGGGAGTTCATTCCAGAAGGCCGGAGCTGCCACAGAGAAGGCCCTCCCTGAGTAATAGCCAGGTGGCATTGGCTGGTAGATGGCACCCGGGGGAGGCCAACCCTGTGAGATCTAATGGGTCTGTGGGAGGTCTTTCCTTGCACAGCACCCCCTTTGGAAAATATTTACATGGCAGCTTTCCAAGATAGATAAGGTCTGTAGTCATAAATATTCCTTTGAAAGGCTGTTTGCCAGGCCTTCGCTGAATGTGAATGAGAAGAATTCCCATGCGTTTAATAAAAGGGGTTCTGTTGGGGCCAGGACTCTGCCTCATGCTTTTTGGGGAAGTCCAGGTCAGAATATAGGGTTCATTTATTTGGTCTACTGATTGGAGTCTGAGTCTTTGCCATGTGTAGATTTTATTTTTAAATTCATCTGTGGTCTTTTGATACAGATCATCTTCAAACTTGGATAATGTCTACCACCTTAGTGGTGACACATCATCTGAGAAAAAATACAGAGACAGCAGAACGTTTCCTCTTTTGTGGATCTAACTTGTCAGAGATTATTGAAGAAACAGAATATATTAAAAAGGTACGGATTTTTGTATGAACACGTAACAAAACCAGATCCACTGGTCTATGCTGTTTACCTAAATGTCTGGGATGGACAGTCCAAGATCTCAAGGAATGTTAGCTTAGTTATTTAAGATCCTTTTAGTTGTTCAGTGATAAAGCACTTTTCTGGATAAAACCCGTGAACTGAGTTGTGTGTGTGTGAGACTGTGTGTATGTGTACCTACCCACACAACTCAGTTCACGTGTTTTATCCAGAACAGTGTTTTAGCAATGATAATTAATGTTAGCCCCCCACACACATACTGACTTGCATATTATGTCTAGATCACAGGTGTCAAATCGGCTGTGACACATTGATGCTATGTGACATATTGCAACTTTTTTCTCCTTTGCAATGCTGGAATAGATGTAGCCTGTACATGATGTACCCGGCCCACCAGCCACCAGTTTGACACCCTTGGTTTAGATAAGTGATGGGATTCAGCCGGTTCGCACGTATTCAGGAGAACCGGTTGTAAACTTTCTCAGCAGTTCGGAGAACTGGTTGTTGGAAGAAATCTTCTCCCCCCCGCCCCCACTTTACAGAACTAAGGCAGGAAGGAAGGAACATTCTGGTGGTGTTTCTAGCCTAATCTTTATTGTGCTACTTACAGAAACTGCCTCTCCGGTTAACCCTTATCGTATTGTCACAGCTAAGGCAAAGTGCCCATCAACTTGAGTGATGTTGAGTTGGCCACACCCACCCAGTCACATGACCACCAAGCCCTGCCGACCCAGTTGGCCATCAGGGCAGAGAACCGGTTGTTAAATTATTTGAATCCTGCCACTGGTTTAGATCAACAATATTAAAGCTAAAGGTAAAGGTTCCTCTCGCATATCTATGCTAGTTGTTCCCAAGTCTAGGGGGAAGTGCTCATCTCTATTTCAAAGCTGAAGAGCCAGCACTGTCCAAAGATGTCTCCATGGTCATGTGACTGGCATGACTAAATGCCGAAGGTGCACGGAACGCTGTTACCTTCCCACCAAAGGTGGTTCCTATTTTTCTACATGCATTTTTTACGTGCTTTCAAACTGCTAGGTTGGCAGAAGCTGGGACAAGTGACAGGAGCTCACCAGAGATGGGTTGCTCCCAGTTCGGCCCGGTTTGGCTGAACCAATAGTGGTCTTTTGGCCTGGGTCACAGAACTAGCAGCGACCCAGGCTGGCCACGCCCCCGAACCAATTCCCTGGTCACTGCCATTGCGCACATGTTGTTTAGTACTGTGTGCCTGTGTGCAGTTCACTGTAAATTGTTCTGTGAATGCTTGAGAACAACATACACTGAATTGTGCACGTGCGCGCAGCGTACGCCTGGCATGCGTGCGAAGCGAACCGGTAGTAAAACTGGAAGCAATCCACCTCTGGAGCTCACCCTGATACGCAGCACTAGGGATCTTAGAATATTAAAATATTAGAAGTCTGGAAATCGTCGTACTAGGAAGAAGTATGTTTAGCCTTGAGAATTAATAACTGAGTGGAGGAAATATAACCACCTCCTTCATTGTCCAGCATGCAGGCTACAAAATAATTTTTTGGAGTTACCGGAAGACAGATCCTAGTTGAATATGAGAAAAAAAGTGTGGACAACTGACAGTAGGATTGTTTTTTAAAAGAGGTCATTAATGCATGTCTTCAAACAGAGCCTAGAGAGCGATTTGCCATACAGTTTAAATCTGGGTTCCTGCTGTGAGCAAAAGGTTGAGATTTTTCAGTTCTGTTTGTTTAATTTTAATTTAAAAAAACATTTAAAGGGTAAAACGAATAGCCATGAAAAGGGAAAAAGAGGAGGGAAAAGGGCATAAGTGTATGGAAAATAAATTATCAGTAAATAAGCAGAGAATTTACAATTGTTATAATATTTAAAATACGTTACAGGTAGTCCTCGACCTACGACCACAATCGAGCCCTAAATTTCTGTTGTTAAGTAAGACATTTATTACATGAATTTTGCCTCATTTTATGACCTTTCTTGCCACAGTTGTTAAGTGAATCACCACAGTAAATAAGTTAGTAACGTGGTTGCTAAGTGAATCTGATTCCTCCATTGATTCGGCTTGTCAGGAGGTTGCAAAAGAGGACCACATGACCTTGGGATGCAGCAACAGTCATAAGTATGAACCAGTTGCCAAGCATCTGAACTTTGATCACATGAGCTTGCTATGAGGTTGCTATGGAGGCCTTAAGTGTGAAAGATGGTCATAAGTCACATTTTTCCATGCCGTTATAACTTTGAATGGTCACTAAATGAACTATTGCAAATCGAGGCCTACCTGTATTCCTGATTGGTATTACATTATTTATAAACATGAAAACAGCTTCTTGCTGCTTTCTTTACATCTGACATTTTCCTCTTAAAAAACATAAACATTTCAGGTGGTTTTTTTTCCCCTTGCAGATCCGTTCCACGCTAGCAAAAGTTCAGCCTCTGTTGTATAAAAAGGAACTCAACCATAGAATTGCAAATGGCATCCTGGATTCAAAGGTATGAAAGATTTTCTATGCCATAGAGACCGATAAGGTAGATCTGTTCTGCACAATAGCAGACTTCAGACTTGTGATAGCCACTCGGTAGCCAAATTATGTTCATCAGACCAATCCATTCTCACCTGGCATTCAACATACTACAGACTTACCAAATCTACACTATCCTTTAAGTTTATCCTATTTTTCTTTCCTTTGGAGTGACCAAGGATAAGTAGATAGAAAGAGCCGTGGTGGCGTAGTGGTTAGAATGCAGTACTGCAGGCTACTTGTGCTGCCTGCTGGCTGCCTGAAATTTGG